AGGAACAAACCAACTCGGCATATAATATAACAGACACAATACAACAATGGGGGCTGCACTAGATGATCTTTATAGATCCTTTCCAATCCAATCTATTCTATGGTTCCATGATTTTGAAAGGTCTTCATGTCTGTGCTTGCTTATATTAGGACTTAGCTGAAACTGTGCATCAGATACACAAAACAAGATTTAATTTGATCCTTTGAAAACACAGTGTGTTAAAGCATCCATGAAGCATAACATTTTAATTTCTCTGAATTTCAAAGATCAGTATATACAGGATTGACATGAAAATGTAGGTATTCATAGATACACACTCTGCTTGACAAATTGTTCATATACTTTAACAGTCTCTAATTCCTTCATTTTGCTCTACCCAGACGATATAGAAAAAATTCTGATCACTTACTGGGACTCCTCAGATGTAGTATTGAACACTGTTCAAGGCATAACAACTTTGAAAAAAAACTTTTTTAATTCATTTTCTGCATCATGGCATCTACTGCAAGCATTTCTCTCTTGCTTCTGGTGCTGTGGAATGACTTGCCTGTCCTGTGACTGACACCATGTGCCATACCAGATGGTACAGCTGGAGGAAATTAGAACTTCTTCGTATTCCCTCTTTTCTCATTGAAGTTCCTTTGGGTCACATAGATACTGTTGGCTGCAGTAACATTATTGGCATAAAAAAAAGGGAGTCCACAACAAAGCTGTCTCTTTGAAATATCATTAACAGGAATCTCTAATTATGTGATTCAGTAAATAACTGCAGAAAGTAATATTTTCTGAAGAAAGCCCACCTGAAAATAAGGTCAGAGTAGTTTTTCTACAAACTTTAATCAGAAAAATATATTATTTATAATACAGGGGTTTTTTCCTGGAAAAAGAATTTTATTGCATAACCTGTATGATGATAATAGTGAGAGGAACACTATCCAACACTTAAAATACAAACACCAGCATCATGCTAACTATTAAATTCACATGCAAAATAGGCAAGAAATTTGGAAATAAGTCTATCCATCTCCTTCTCCCTGTAACTACTAATATATAGTATCCAGTATAATGGCACTGTGGTGAGAGAGGGACTGGATAAGGTACATGGCATGCCTCTCCTGAGCATCTCAACTAAAAGAACAGTCCTCTCCACCTAAGAATCTTGCAAGATATGTGTTGTGCCCTAAACCTCATAGAGTACTTTCCTCTGCTAAACTTGGCTACTGAGTTACAAGCTGACTACATAAACATTATGTAATGTAGGTTGACTTTTTTAATATACATTTATATTTTATTTCAATTTATATTTTCACTGTGTCTGGAGGTAGACATAATTCATTTGCCAGTGCAGCTAATATAGATTTGAACTCCACTGCAGATCCATAAACTTTCTCTACTAAATTTTACTTTCAATTGATACTAATCAAAAATTAATTTTAACTAATATCTAAAATGTTAGACATAATATCTAATTTTTTAATTCGATAATATCTAATAAATATCTGAATCTAAAAATGTTACACATCCGACAATAGAACAAATTTTTAAAAATTGAAAGCTAGAACATTGAAACAGATTGCTCTTCCTTGGACATAATATGGAATGGTATGACGTCCTAATCCTTGTGAACGTAAAAGATGAGAGCACACATCCTCAATTTTTTTTCATGTAGCATCAGATTACCTCATTTTAAAATTTAGTGAGATGACTTACAGAGTGCTGAAAGTGGTCTTTGCAAACAGAGGAAGACCTTTTTGCTGTAAATGAACAGACAAGTGATCAATGCTTTCCTCCTGATGCTATGGCACAAGGCACATCCCTTAAGGAACAGTTCCAAAGCACACCCAAACAGAAATAGTGAAAAAGCCTAGACACTTGGACATGCATGTTCCTAACAGGCTGATACAGCTACTCCATGAGGTGCATTTGGGCTAGAATAATGTTATGGTTTGGAATGGGGTGTCTCTCTGGCCATTACTCTATGTAAAAAAAAAAAAAACCCAAGACAAAATTAGACTTTAATAATTTCTACTGGGCTGCAGTTGACCTTTATTACTTCTGACTAAGTTTTACAAAGAAGAATACTGATGCCATTCTTGCACACTCCCTTAATCTTCCCAGAAGAAACTTTTAAGGACTTGAAAGTCAAATAAAAATTTAACTTCCTAAGAGAGGATAAACAGAAAACATTTTAATCAACATTCTATGTTATTTTTTCTATTGATTGCCAAGTTTTCTCTTTCTTCCTAATGTTGTAAAGAGAAGCCATTCTCCTAACAAAACAGAGCTTTCACATATTTGCCTTATTGTAGTCTCCAATTCCCAGTACTGACTCCATGTGAGAGACACTGCTAACCCTTATAAGCATTTCACTGGATTAATGGATGTTAGCAACAATTCTATTGGACTACAACTTGAACATCTAACTTGTGGTCATTAATACTTGTATTGCTTGTCCATGGCAACATGCTGGCAGTGTGGGGAGTTCAGGGGAAGACGCTCCGTAGAAAGACACCAGAGGCTGCCCCAAATGGATACCAACGGTTCCAGATGTCTCTAATGGACCAAGCACAGGACACAGCAAAGCTCCTCAGCAAAGTGCAAAGTGTGCTGTGTCACTCTAAAAACTGATTTAAGAAAGAGGAAAAAATCCACCAGAGAAAAAGGGAACATAAAAAGAGTGAGAAGGAACAGAGGAAATATCAAGTCAAAGCAGGAGGAAGTGGAGGTGCTGCATGGTGGAGTAGATCTCCACGCTACAGCTCATGGAAGACTCGTGCTGCTGCAGATGAATATTCCTAAAAAACTCAGCCCATGGGGACCCCAACGAGGGGAGAACAAAAGGGGTGAGGATGAAGGTTTTACAGCCAGTAAACCACTGTGTACTGGCTGTAACTTCCCTTGCCACCCTGCACTAATCAGGGATGGAAGAGGAATCGGAAATGAAGTTGACCTTGGAAGAGAGGGGAAGATTTTATTTTATTGTCTTTGTTTCTTATTACTGAAATATATATTGACAAATATTAATCTTCCCAAAGTACAGTCTGTTTTGCCTACAAAAGCAAATGAGAAACAATTTCCCTGTCTTTTATCTTGAAACATGTGATTTCTCAAAATATTTCCTCCCAATGTCATGCTGAAGAGGGGGATGAAGTGTTCAGACAGGTAGGCATCCGGCTGTTCAAAGCTAGCCCAGCACTATTTTCCTATTTTCCCTTTTTAAACTATTTAGACTAATTCAATATTTTAATTCATTAAACTGTTACCTGCTAATAACTATAACTATTTGTCTGAGAGTCAACATTAGACACCTATTATGTTAGCAAGGATTCTGATGCATTTGTTCTGAATAACACAAGCCATAGTGAGCATGCTAAAGGCCAAACACTTAGCAGCATTTCACATCATTCAACAAAAATGTTCCTTTAATTTTATGTTCAGCTTCCAAAGCTGCCCTTGGAATGTTGATTCTGAGAAATTGAGTTATAATCTAAATCAGAAGAGCTTGTGTAGCCTACCTCCAGATCACTATAAGTATAAACTGAGTTTCAGCCTCCAGAGAAACACAGTAGATAATGCCAGTATTTTTCTTCTTTACCTTTTGTGCCATACTAACATGATGTTACATGCAGTTTTTACTATTATATAAAGTTATTTGCACAACTTCAGGGTTTTTGTTTTTTTTTTCCATAAGTTTTAAGTGAACTATTAAGCCATAACCTACATTCAGTTTTGTGGCTTTCAATTTCATTGAATAGGAGACTTTAGGAAAGAAACTACATTTTAGACCTCTCCAAAAGAAACACTGGTCTCTCAGGCTCAGCCCTGAAAAGACTTACATGCACAGGTAGGTTTCCATGCAAAGGCTACCCATAATGCATACACATGGGTAAATCCTTGCACTACAAGACAGATAATTTTGTTTAATTCATTTGCCTGTTCAGGACATATGATTTCCCGATTCCATTATGATTTCTTTTTGCTAGTTAAATTCTATCTGTTTCATTCCCTGGTTTTGCTATCCAAATGAGAAGAGGCAGGAGAAAGTAGACCTGCACAGCTTATTCTGTTGCTAGCATTTCTTTTTCATGTCCATTCATAGTGGGAAAGTTCACTTTTTGTTTCTGTTTCATTCACTCAATTTTTTTAGCAATTCTTTTTAGATAAACTTCTTTACTATGAAAATCAGTGGAGAAAATTAATTATTATTACTTTCCTCAGAAGAGAACACAAGCAGGGCTAAATCAGATCTCACTTAAGTTTAATCCACTCCAACATTCCAATTGCCTGTGAATCACCAGTTACAGATGTTTAGAGAAAAAGTAGGAATCAGTAAAGAAGAGCCTGACACATTTCCCTAAAGATCCCTCTACTCACCCCCTAGAAATCAGGGTATTAAGAAACTGAGAAATACAGATGACAGCAAAAATTGTGGTTAGGTACCAGCCAATTATTTTATTTCCCCCCGACAATAAGTTTCAGAGCAGCTATGGCAGAGAGCAGTTATGCAGCCAACAGAAAAAAAAAATAATGTTGGTGCCTGCCTGGGAGTTCTTTTCTCAGTCTATTATACATTCATGCCATTCCTCACATGTAATATCCTTTTCAGAGAAATATTTGTGCTTGTAGCAAAATGCAGTGCTGTTTATAGAGCTTTCTATACAGTTTTTAAATGAAAACAGACACTGGGAACAAAGTGTGTGTGTGAATTTGACTAACAAGATGTACTTCATTTTTACAGAAAAGAGCTAATTGCAGCCTGCTGCTTATTACCACAGTCAAATCCCCTTTAGGATCCTGTCCTCCTTCATATATCAGAATATATACAAGTAAAATTTAGTCACTGTAAAACCAAAACAAGGTACCTTGGCCCTATTTAAGTACTTCTAAGGCATTTTCAATGATATTACTAGTAAAACATTATTGTTAAAAACTTCATGGAATATGATTTAATCTGTTAAGAAAAGATTTGAACATGAAACAAACATAGATTGTTATCTTACTTCAAATGGGAGCTCTGTTATTTCCATATTTCCAGACAAATCCAGTTTTTCTAGATTCTCACAATCACCCAGTTCTGGAGGAACTGACTTCAAATTATTGAAACTCACATTGAGCACTTTGAGGTTTTTTAAGCAGCCTGTGAGGGTAAGATAAATCAAATCAGTGTATTTAAATTAAAAAAAAAAAAAAAAAAGAGAGAGAGAAAGCAAAAAATAAAAGGTATACTCAGTTAAGCAAAAAAAAAAAAAAAAGCTCCTTATTGTGGTGATGGGGTGATGGGTAAGATTAATAAATATTTTCTGCAATAACATTTTGAGGGGCAATAGTGCCCTTAATCAGCAATGTTTTTGGAGAATGTTTTAAAGGAGACACAAAAGACTATCAAAGATCTGTTTCTTCTAATGGTAAGATACCTCTTGACCTCATTTGAAACTAGAGAAGTTGGCTTTTGGCTTGCCCACTGTAGAAAATTTGCCTGCCAACTGAAACACATCTTAGCAACTTTTACACAACTTCCTTGCTGAGAACAATCACCCCTACTAAACTTACATCAAGAATTCTGTCTTTAGTATCCTGCATTGCACACTTTTGATTATATAATGGTTGTGTGCATGTGTTTCATTATTTTCTTTTTTGTGATTTATCATATCCACTGGCTTAATTTCAAGGTCATGATAATATTCTATGCTACATTTAGTAACAAATTTTTTTGTTTCTTCAAATTATAAACATTACATAACTGTCAGCAAAAGGAGGGTTAGAAACATGATTAAGATGCAATATCCTGAAAAAAAAAATGCAAGTTATTCTGTGATATAATCAAACTGGAAGACATTTGAATTTATAAAACAGTTAAAGTGTTAGCAAAGGCATCATTAAATACATAACAAAATGAGAACATTTTATGGAAAGCCCAGTTGTTGTATTGTGTACTGGCATTGTTTTGCCAGTACACTACTATCTGACAAGGGCCGTTGGGGTAATAAAACAATTTAATTGTGTCAACATGTGAGCTACGTTTTAAGCACCTAAAAATAATAGAAGTTTAGTCTACTGATAAGGAAACTTCACGAGGTTTACTATCATAATGTATATGAAGATATTATGTCACATCTAAGTGTCAGGACCATGAATTCACCACTTCATTGCAACAAAATAATGATTAAAACAGAAATGCCTTAAAACTAGAGAATCAGAAAATCATAATTTACTTCCTCAACCAACTAATCCCATGTTAAAGGAGAGCAAATCCCATTTGAATGAAAGAAGAACCATTTATTCAATAGCCCTGGAATGTTTTGCCTGTTCTTTCACCTGTGGAATATTTGTACTGGTTCTATCTGGAATGGAGTTAGCACTTCTCATAGCAACTCATATGGTGTTATGTTTTGGATTTATGACCAAACAATGTTAATAACTGAACAGTGCTAACTCAGCAAAAAATTTTATTTCTCACTCTGGTGCCCCAGTGAGTCAGCTAGGAGTGGGCAAGTGGCCGAGAGGTGACATGACTGGCACATTGGATCCAAACAGACCAAAGGAATATGCTGTAGCATATAATGTCACATTCAGCAGAAAAAGCTGGAGACAGAGGTGGAACGCCAGTGAGTTTTAAGGTCTCTATTTCGTAGAGACTGAATGTGGATCAATTTGTGGTGAGTGAGTGCTTTTGCATCACTGGTTTGTTTACTTCTTCTTTTTAAACTGTGTTTATCCTGATGCATGAGTTTTCTCACTTCTGCTTTTCCCTTTCTCTCCCCATCCTGCTGTGGGAGACTTGACTGCAGGAGACTGAGCAAGCTGTGTGAGGCTTAGCTGCCTACAAGTGTTAAACCACAACAGATGTTGCTAATTTTTCAGTCACTGAAATTTCTACCTCCCAGTTCCATTAGTAATTGAAGAACTAACTACTAGTGCACTACTAGGCAAGGCACCTGGTCTTACCAACATGCTAGTCACTGTCTCATCTAAGTCTTTTCAGGTGGTCATCTCTGATGCATTGGAGACATGGAGCAGAACCACTTATGAAAAAGAAATCACAAAAATATAGCAGCCTTTCTGGGTAGTGTGATGGATTCAAGCACAGCTTCTCTGCCTGTCTTTCACAGCACCTAACATGTATGTCAATGTTCCCAGTATGGTTTGGAGGTATGAGATAAAAGATACTTAAAAATGCATCACATTTTTTCTTATGATATATAGTCTCTCTCTAACATGACAGAAGGGCACTACAGATTCTACAGTCAATTTACAGTAATTGCTGTGACTAAGATTATGAAAATTACTGGGAAAAGGCAGGAGTCATGCAATTGAATTTTATTTCCATAACAAATTCAGGACAACATAGATTAATGGGATGAAGCTTGCCAAGATCTGCCTGCAGGGAGCAATCTTGGAATTCTATAGGGGCTATTCGTCACCTCTGGTCTCTTCAGTGAATTAAGTTATGCCACCTGCAAGTGAGCAGTAGTCAAGCAATAACACGCCCTCTAGGGTGATAAGACATATATATAAGACTAACCAGGACCTCCTGGATAAAATCCCTGCATAAGCACTTCACAAAATCACATTTCTTTCATTTCGCACATTCCATTTGAAAAGTAGTTTATTTTTTGCATCTGCTGCAGTTATGGTATTATAAGAAGTTACTGAGTTTCTTAATTTTCTTGATTTAGAATAATCTTCAGATTGCTAGCCTAAGTTTATTTGTAGCCATTTCGTAAACATTATTTTGTCTAGTTCATCTTTAAATAGGATTTTTTTTCCTTCCCTGGTGTTTACTTCTGATATTTTCATAGGTAACAGACATCTCAGAATTAATTTTACTAGCCTGAATAAGCCATTTTTTCCAGTCTCTGCTGACAAAATAAAAATTCCCCTCCTTAAATGGTCCTAATAGACTTATTTTGCGTCTGTTCTCATCTAAAATTACAGGATAGTCCTCCTGTGACTACTAGATTTGGAATTCCATTTATTTCATTTTTTGCATTTAATGATCTCTGACATGCTGCACGAAAACTGAATACTTGATCTTGAGCTCAGCAACTGTGAATTTAATCTCTGTATTTTTTAGAAGCCTATCTGCTCATCAGTCTTACCATATTTCCACCTGTTTTGCAGAGACAACACACAGAAAAACTGTGTCAGAAAATTTCAGTAACCCTGTTCCTGAAAATTGCTTAAGTGATAAAGTCAAGACCAATCCTTGAGAAAATCTACAAATTACCTTCTTCGTGACCAACACCTTCTCTTTCTAAATAAACACATTTTTGCCTCTGGTTTAACAAGTCTTTTGCTCATTTTACAATTGTGGCATCAAAGTCCATTCCATTAGAGTCAAACACCCATTTTCCATAGTTCTGTTATCAAACCTGTCAGGGAATACCAGGTAGACAAGATTTACTGCTTGAAGCTCAGTCATATTTTAGAAAGATAGAAACCAAATTAGTTGGGAACAACTTGCTTTTTCTTTATAAATTTTTTTTATTTCAACCTGGTTTCCATTCAGCACCACATCTCTAATGACTCCTTCCTCTAATTAACTGTTTAAAATTTTTGTGACAATATAGATAAGGATAGAGTTAGGCTGCATGAACTGTCAGAATGGTAATCCAGATTACAGAGTGAAACCTGCTAGGCAAACTTTGTGACTATAAAAAACATCCATGAAAATGAAAGATTCTCAAATCCTGTGGCTTGACCAAAGGAGCACAAAATTTTGGAGGAATGAATCCCAAAATAGTCTTCAAATACCACAGACACTGTCATTTGGACAAGGGGGAATAAGGGTGGTAAAGCAGTATGGACTTTCGCAATCCTGAGACCTGCATCTAGGGGCTTATTAGTGCAGAAGTTCTCCACCATCTTTGGTAGGGTGCCCAGTAAAATCAAGATTAATGAGCATGTAATACAGCCATTGAGGCACTTTAGGAGGAGAGGGAGGAGGTGGCATCCCTTCATGACTGCACAAATGCAAAACAGGATTTGACTCCCATACATGTTACTTATACATTCATATAATATTCAAGCACATATTTTAATTAAATTAAAATATGTGAATTAAAAATAGTGATAATAAAATCATTGCTGTACAATACTCTTTTTAACTATCCTTAATGTTGCTGAATTTTCATTCTATAAAATATGTAAATTCTGGAATTAAACAGCTAACATCTCTCTGTTTTCCATGGAGAGGCAGTAAAAGCCAAAATTAAATCCATGGTCTCCCCAGAATTTCCAAAATTTCTTTTTTAGATGGGAGATCCAGTGTAACAGTTGTTGCAGTTAAAATTTTTAATTAATTTTTAAAAACCTGAATTCATAACTAAATTCTGTAATTTCTTATGAGCAATGCAGCATTCTAATAATGCTAGTACAAATTCACCTTTTACACAAGCTTACATTAGTGGTTCTAACAAAGTCTCAGAGACAAAATATAGATGAGGTTACAGAATGTCTTTATTATCTGAGGATCCTATTCAATGCAAAAGTAGATCCACTTGTAAAACGCTGGACAACTTTTTACATTATCTGCAAGTATAGAATCATTGAATTACAGAATGGCTTGAGTTGGAATGCACCTTATAGATCATCTAATTCCAGCCCTTCTGCCATGGGCAAGGTCACCTTTAACTAGACCAGGGTTCTCAAAGCCCCATCCAGTCTGGTCTTGAACACTTCCAGGGATAGGTCATCCACAACTTATCTGGCCAACCTGTTTAATTGACTGATCACCCTCAGAGGAAAGAATATCTAATATCTAAATTAAACATACCCTCTTCAAGTTTATGGCCTTTTGTAATTACCCTTTGTCCTGTTACTACATGCCCTTGTAAGCAGCCACTCAGTTATTTTTACAGGCCTCCTTCAGGTGCTGAAAAGCCACAGTAAGGTCACACCAGAGCTTTTTTTCCTACAGGCTGAACAAGCTCATTTCTCTCAGCCTGTCATCATAGGAGAGGCCCTCCATCCCTCTAATCACCCTTGTGTCTCACCTCTGGACCCACTCCCACAGTCCATGTCCTCCCTGTGCCGGGACCCCAGAGCTGGGTGCAGGGTTCCAGGTGGGCTCTCAGCAGAGCAGAGCAGAGGGGCAGAATCCCCTCCCTCCCCTGCTGCCCATGCTGCTTTGGATGC